ATCAGTTTCTTTCCTTGATTTATTTTTTGTATTAGTTTTGTCACACAAGATGGGCAAGAGGCGTCTACCACCCCCGGCAACCAGACAGACAGGACAGTCACAAGAAGGGGTGACACAAACCTCTTCTCTCACGCCCACATCCTATAACAACTACCATCACCTGCAACTAAAACACAACATACGGTGTCTAAAAGCATAACACGAAGAGACGATGGAATTTTCTTCATTAAAACAAACATTCCTGATGACAATCCAAGCATGGATTTAGAGCACTGTGTTCACCTCGACATTATCAGCGGTCGTGTAGATGCTGTGGGTCAGGCCTCAGTATCACCCCACTCATCAGCGGTCGTGTAGATGCTGTGGGTCAGGCCTCAGTATCACCCCACTCATCAGCGGTCGTGTAGATGCTGTGGGTCAGGCCTCAGTATCACCCCACTCATCAGCGGTCGTGCTGTGGGTCAGGCCTCATATCACCCCACTCATCAGCGGTCGTGTAGATGCTGTGGGTCAGGCCTCAGTATCACCCCACTCATCAGCGGTCGTGTAGATGCTGTGGGTCAGGCCTCAGTATCACCCCACTCATCAGCGGTCGTGTAGATGCTGTGGGTCAGGCCTCAGTATCACCCCACTCATCCTGAACTCAAAGACAATATTCAGTCCGGGGAATCCGTCCTCGCTTGTACCCCAAGTTAAAAGATCCCACAAGCCTGAACCTCCTGTATGAAAGACTATCTCTTATATATGGTCGTCACACTCCCTGTACTTTAAGGCATGTGGAAGAGTGTTGCAGCACCAATATATTTTCCTCTTCAAAATTAATGATAATCCTCTTCCTATATGAATTTCTACATAAATATTAAGTACAGGTGTTATATGTCAAGTTCCCTCTTGTTTACTATGGGGTTATGAGGTTGTTAGAGGCTCATTTGTACTTATTATGTTTGACTGACAACAATTCACACACAAAACACAACTATAAAGGTACAGCCACTTGATGGTGTGTCAGCCTCGCTAAGAAGAGTAATGGCTGGACTCTGTTGACAATCTTGTTTATTGATGCACTCAATTCATCCCGGTAAAATGGTGTAATAAAGTACACAGCGAAAGTTATTGTGTTGTTCCCAGTGATTGGTGTGTGTGTGTGTGTGTGTGTGTGTGTGTGTGTGTGTGTGTGTATCCGCGCGCACTTGGCCTGGCCAAATGATCTCTTATTGATGACCAAGATCAACCAAACACAAGAACCTATAGTAGGGAACTAGATCGCTAGGTTTAATCTTAAAACTGACTGATTGATCTTTTACCCCTTGACCTTTGACACTCTCCTAGTGTTGTTCTGAGCACTGGCAGTGTGTTCCCTCACTACTACTCTGGCAGTCAAAAGCCGCATCGTTCTCTCACTGTAACTCTACCGTGTGAATGTGTCTTTGGTCTACTTTCCTTCATTAATCATAAGTGATCGATCTGGTCTTCCTGATTATGAGTTGATTTTTTTTAATTTAGTAAGTTTTTATTTATTTGTGTTTTTATTAATTATTCTCATACTCATTCTATCTCTCCCTCTCCTCAAAAACATAAGACATACTCGGTTGACATTGCTTGCAGGGAAACAATCACTAGCAAGATTGTATCAGATTCTTAACTCACAGAATCAGGATCTTAATTCATATGATTCAGTATAATTACAACTATACGTGAATACTTTTTTCCATAAGCACTCATCTAACTGCAGCTAAGACCTCGTCTGTTACTGTGTACACTATAAAAGGTTCACAACACAAGGGAAGTCGGTTAGAAATGTATGCAATTGAGTCCCTTACAGAAACACTCCCCCGTGACCGCGCCAGAAAAATGCTCCTGACGTTCTGCCGGAATGACTTTTATTGTCTGCTGTCTTGGAGGAATTACAAGCACCGCGAGTCATGCAGATGTAGGATATAATCTTGCTCCGTTTCTCTTTAAAAGGATAAGTAGGAGTTACAGCCTGCAGGATACGAAGCAATAAATGGTTTATGGTAGGTGTCTCAGGGGGTCAACACAGGACTATGGTAGGTTTTTCAGGGGGTCAAGACAGGACTATGGTAGGTGTCTCAGGGGGTCAACACAGGACTATGGTAGTGTCTCAGGGGGTCAACACAGGACTATGGTAGGTGTCTCAGGGGGTGTATTTCAGGGGATCGTTGCCTCTCTGACTCAAGTGTAGGATTGTGATGAAGGATAGTGTGTTCTTGGCTGTTATGGTCGTGTGTGTGGGGGGGATGGAGTTGGGTGTATTTTATGAGTAAGCGTGTCCATTTGTATATATGTATGTATGTATGTATGTATGTATGTATGAATGTGTATGGTATCCTGAGGCTTGAATGAAAATAATATGAAACAGGTGAAAATGGTGAGGTTTGCCGGAGGTCACTCAAAGTATACAAATGTACCAAGGCCAACAGATTATTATTATTATTATTATTATTATTATTATTATTATTATTATTATTATTATTTTACGCCCTGAAGCAGACTATTCTCAAATCCTCTCTCACTTTAATACACCCCATCAACATAACTATTTCGTATCATCCCGCCTTTACCAAAGCTTCTCCATTATCATAAATCTACAACGTGTCGGGTTTGCCTCAGTGACCAGAATATATCCTATGTTCCTCATTATTTAATATGTTGGTACAAGACTCCATGATATATGTGGGGGAGTAGCTGACCTTATGATTAACTCACCTCTATGCCTTAAGCTCCTATCCAACCAAAATATTAATGTATTCTCTATATTAACGGGATGTGAGTGTATGTACTTCATCGGTTCTATTCTTTCTGATTTTTACTGTTCTCTTTGGGGAAAATTTTTATTCCTTGGAAGGGAATTTACGGCCCTGAGGTGAAAAATATTGGAAGTGAGAAAAGATGATGCGGAGCTTAAGGAGGTGTGGAGGGAATGTTGATGGCCGTCTCTGGGTCAGGGAGAGTTGAGTTTAATAGTTCTCTTTATATAAGGTTACAGTGATGAGAAAGACAATAAAATATTGTTACGAGTTGGGGATTTAGAATATAGTTAAAAGTCTACCCAGATCCCAACAGGCAACAACAACAACAAAAAACAAAGACAATTGGACTATAAAAGGGTAGACAAAATATGCGAGTTTTTGTTGTGTATAATAAAGTACCATAAATTCCTTAACAAATTATTCAGCTTTCTATAAATTACCCTTAACCATACTTAACCTAAACATTAACAGTATATACATATTTATACAACATACAATAATTTGAAGCAAGTGGACGTGGGGGAGGCAATATAAGATTACAAATACTTAAGTGCGGAGCTGAGATGGCTGACGAGTAAGGCTGAGTATTGTAGAAAACGGTAGGTAGTCACTGTGCCGTAGGTTTCCAGGATAGGTGATCCTGTGGTCACTTCCCAGAGTGACTGCTCTCCTCCTCGAATTGGAGCTCACAAGAGGAGGAAGTGACGCAACAACCAGGATATGGAGAAGGGAAACCCCGGAGTGTTAACTAAGACGAGTCATACTCGTGTCTCGTCCCTAGATGGCGTTGCTCGTGGTGCTGGGTAGGTAGATCAGGACAATTGGTGGAGGGGTTCGTAACAATATACAAAACACAAGTGAGATGGGAAGTCCCTAAAGCAAGTTGTTTGTTAAGAGAAGAGTTAATGGATTACGCTGAGAACCACGAATTATGCATCAACTCGCTTGACTCTATTGAGATCTTCACAGTAACTCGCTTGACTCTATTGAGATCTTCACAGTCACTCGCTTGACTCTATTGAGATCTTTACAGTCACTCGCTTGACTCTATTGAGATCTTCACAGTCACTCGCTTGACTCTATTGAGATCTTCACTCATGTTATTTTCTGGGTTTTCTTCATTTTAACAACTCTAGGTCTTCAAAAATATAGATACCTAAGAGCATTTTTTTATCAGAAATTTTAGAACTCAACACAGGTAAAGCATTTCATGGTCATTTATTTTACTAAGTTTAACCTAATGATAATATAATGAGTTCTATAGAAATGCTGGTTATCTGGGGCTGCAATCTTAGCTGTAATTAATGTATTCGCGTTATGCTTTCTCTCCACAAAGAACCATTGTGATTTGATACACTCGGGATGTTAAGAGTGCGCTCAAGTTTCTGACACTCTTTGTGTGTTTGTCTTCCTTTCTCTCTCTGGTGCTGCGTTACCTGGGTTATTTCCTCTTCACCCAACACTTTACCCTCCAGACAATACGTGGAACATAACTTATGATAATAGAGTCGTATATTAAGCAATGAAAAACACCACGACAAACACGACTAGTAAATTTCTTTAACAATTCTTTATGAAAATGAAGACATTATCATATTTGGAATATATCACAGTTTGTTTTCAGAGCAGCGTATTTGTGTTAAGTTTTATCATCCTTGGTTGGAAAATGTACAACCAAAGTCAATGAAATCATACCATTAAAATATCCTCTGGAAAATAGATTGATTGTCGCTCTCAGTTTTCGCAGCCACACAGCCGCAGCTCATAAAGAAAGCATCAGTGTAAACTAAGCATTCGGGTATTCTTCTCTTAAATATAAATCTGACTGGATGAAGATGAGAATTTAACGTGTTTGAATGCTGGAGTTCTTGAGTGAATATTTTATGTTATCGAGATTATTTGTGCACTTGTTATACCCTTCTACCTGTAAATGTCCATCATATGAAAGCCATTTATGCAAGAACCTACTCTGCTCTGCTCTGTGTAATGATAGTATAATGCATTGTGAGTATACCAAGTTATTAATTACACTACCCATCAACAAGGACAATTTAATAAAGGTTCTTCTATGTGTGAGTATATCTGTCTTTCTTAATCATCTTATTTCTACACTCTGTTACTCCTTAATTAATGCTTCTCGCTGGAGTCTATATAACACTATTTCCTTCGTTAGTGTACAATATATTCATAACCTCTATGTAACAACAAGGGTGAAATAAAATACAGTTATCGTGTTCCAAAAAATCCAATATTTTATTCAGTACAGGGAAATTCTGTTTATGGTTCATGTTTAGTTACAAATATTTTGGTGATATTTTACTGTCAATTATTCCGTGGATTAGAAATGTTGACTTCTACTGTCCTCTCTTGTCAATGTACAGAAGCGTCTATGTCCAGTCTGTGAAGTTGAAAAAATTAAATATTATGTTTGCTAAAGGTTCATGTCATATACAGTAGAGGTAAAGTGACCCGTGCACCACCCCACCACCCTCATCTCCCTCCTTAACCTCAAGCCTTTTCTTTTCCTTTTTTTACATACCTTTGGTTGTTCTTTTTCTTTGGCTCTTGGGTGTAACAAGAAAACATATTTTAAACATCATCTTCATACAGAACATCTTTAGATGAACTAAGTCATTCACCTAAAGCTCCACTCCATCAAGTCATTTTGGTGTAATAGAAGTTTTGGTCTTCTACTTAACTCTCCATCCACAACAAGGACCCAAATAACCAATGATATACAACTATACATTTATCACTTCACACAAGACCTACCAAAAACTCGTCCCTCAACACTAAAGTCTCCCTCATGTATAAATAAAGAGATAGAGAGTTTCTTACCATGTTGCTGCACTGACAGAGACACGAGAGAAAGCATCAGGAAGGAGAGACTCATCCCTCTAGTTATCCACTCCATCTCTGTAACAAGAAGGTTAAATTTTGAGCTGAGAAACCACTACGGTTGACACTGAGAGTATGTCTCTACTTACTGCGTGGGAGAAAATATATTAACAGGTTTTTGCAGCTGACAGTTTGTAAGTGATGAACATAAGACAGTAACTACACGCAAGGTTGTGACTCACTCGTGGTAGATCAACGAGTGTATGCTGGACACTGTGTGCTGGAGTCAGGTGAGGTTAGCACTGCTGCAGAGGGACAGATGTGCCGTTAAATAAGGGGGCTGCCTGTACCACGTGGCCAGGTGACGCACACACCTGCTCCATGTTAATGTGGTTTCACTCTTGTAAAGAATGTTGTTTAAATCTTGAACTGACTGGTGGCCAGCTCACCTCTGACCTAATTGAGATCAGGTGTATTACCTTGGATGATGGCCACCTCTGGTTATACACCTGATCTCAATTAGTGTATCTTCATGTATACGACTTGTGACCAATTGATTTTCCTTTGCATCTATACAAACTTATGTGGGTGTTTATATTACCATTCATAGAGGTGACTAGGCTTAGCACAGATTAATTATCATATCAATATATTATTCTTAATATATTCTTAATTCTGAAAGTCTTTTCAGGTTTTGTTTACCTGCCTTGATGTGAGCTATTTAGTATCCATGGTCACTTAACATATGTTTCTACTCATTTTCCGACTTACCATAACAAGAGTAATCACCCAGCAGTGGGAAGTGTGCGAATCTCTTCAATAATTATGTTATAGACCACATTTAAGATATTGCGATATAAAAACCAACAACATTGCCGTTTCTGCCCCACACACACTACACCTTTACAAATTAATAATTGGTCCAATGTTTAAAATTTTATCAACTGATGAGTTCTACCAATAAAGATGATATATATTAACAAATGCTAACACACTCTAATAATTTGCTCAGCATCAAGTATAAAAAGGTGGAAAAATATGTATAAGAAAACATAGTACAATTAAAGCATTTAGCAATATCTGAGAAAATCTTAAATCATAAGTATAACCATTTGAGTTATAGACTAAAGACATTAAAAACGATTATTTCTTCATTATAAATACACTAAGTGAATATGTTTACGTAAGTGTGTCTTTGAACATATATATATATATATATATATAAACCAAGTTATATAAGAAACCAAATATTTTTAATTCATATTAATATATACAGTCAGAACTCATTGGAAACCTTATACAGTCCAAGATTTACACCCAACAGGTTTATAAGTCTTTGTTAAATCAACTCAACTTCCTGAAAAGCAAATATTAAAATAACTTCCATAGAAAGGGTTGAAAAGAAATTTAAACAGAATTACCCAAGTGTTTGATAAATATTACATGAGTTGTGGTGGGCCTCAGTGTGTAATGATTCCTTTGATGGTGTCCAGTGTATGGTTGCTACATCCTCCGCTGTGATTAGTGTTTTGTTGAGCACATTTTATTACCATACATAAAATTATGAAAGTAAATATGGATAAAGAGATAAAAGAAAAGAGTTCTCCTGGACTGAGGTGATTTTGAATATTCTTCCAAAGTTCTTTCCATATTTCTGACATTGAACATCAAATCAATTTCTTATTAAAAACATAATAAAATTAGTTAACATCAGAGGAAAATGAGGTGTGTGCATACGGTGAAGGGATAAGAACACGGGCGAGGGACAATGCCCAAAGTGAGTGAACAAAGTCAAATTATGTTGAGTCTCTGGTGGACTACGTCTGAGGTGGAGATTGGACAACAGATGCGCCTCCTCAATCACACTATACAATTGAGTCACTGATTAATCACGACATCAAGACAATACTGAGCGTGATGAGAAGGTGTTCCCGTGTCCTCACTGTTGGGATAAATTCATGGGAATATTATAAGGAATGTGGTATTATGATGAGACCAATAGGACTGATGTCAAGTATAATTGAAAACCGTATCTTTCAAAAATGTCAACTATATGAGACTATAAGAAAGAGTTTTGTTCTGCTATTTTTCTCCCAAGAAGGAAAAATTAGGATGCAGAAAAGAAAGCAAATGAGTTCCAAAAAAGTTTGATTCGCTCATATAAAAGTTATGTCAAATGAATTTTAACAGAATAATTTTGCAGTGTACCTTTTGGGGATGACAGTAAGTCTGTGGAGGCAAAAGTGAGAGAAGATAAGAAAAGAAAATATTTGATCACGTAAAATCCCTGAAATGTCAAAGCTATATCACGTTAAGTCATTCGTGTTAAGAATTAATCACAAACACACACATTGTGACGCAAAACATTACTGATGGTGGTACAACAGCGTGATCACACTCTTCATAATGGCGATATTACACTGAGATCATGAATTATGGCAACGCACACAACTTTTGCTGGTGCTGACCCATCAACAGTCTGATATTACCTCAGTAATCTTCGTCCTCTTACCAAACACCTGGAAACTCATGAACCTTTTATAAATCTTTATAAAACTTGGACTCCGGCTGTTGAGTTAAACTGTATGATACAGTCATGTTACTGTACAGTGAGTTATCCATAGATGGCAGTTTATTTACTAATCATACTAATACATCTATAATATTTCCAAGTAGCCTGATACTGCGATACATAACTGCAACTTGCTGAGCTAAGGTGCCATCAACAAGCTACCACAACACACACAAAGTGATAATACCTTAATGTTTTTCAGTCTCCCGGTGGTAGGAGGTTGTCACTCGTCCAGTATGTATGTACAGTATATCTCCGTGGAGACTCATAGAGGTTTAGCGTTATGAAGATTAACTATTCCTCCTGACGGAAGTTTAACTAATTAGATTTATGTGAGGAGTTAGCAGGCGTGCTTGTGCTAACCGATGTGGTGCCCAGGGGCTGTGTTCGTGTCTGAAGGTGGTGCTGCCTGTAAGGATTGTTCTCGTGTTGCGATTTTGGGGAGAAGACTGCAGCTCCAGACAGTAGCATTCATTGACAGGCCAACTACAGCCAGAGGTCCAAGCAAAGTACCAAACTATTTCCCTTCGTTTCATGTAATCAGAATTTGTTAATGCATTACCTTGGTATTGAGGGAGATAGAGGTTTTGTGTGGTATTTATTGTGTCGTTGGTGAAATAAGAGGACTTGTGCGATCTGTAAATGCAAAGTGGTTGAAGCGAGAAGCGAAGTTTTTAATACAATACACCGTAATGTGGAGACACTACTGTACGTTGTTACATGCATCTCAAGACTAGAGTTATTGTAATCAGTAATCATAATTAGTGATCGTAATTATCTGAAATGCGGCTTATCTTCTGAGTTAATCGCATGGAATCAGTAGTCGTATAATTATATGATTAAATTAAGTCGTAAAGTAGTCGAAAATATTTATAAAATGAATGATACCACGATTGTTTGACGATTTGTGTGGTTACTTTTGGAATTATTGTGAGTCTAAAGAAATCAGAGGAAGAGTTATTTTTGGAATGGAATTACATCTACAGGTCATATATATATATATATATATATATATATATATATATATATATATATATATATATATATATATATATATATATATATATATATATGACCTGTTGGTGCCTTGTAAAAATTGCCGTAACTGTTATAACGTGCGGAAATTTTCCATTTAAATTCAGAGGCTTTTCCATTTCAGTACTTGATGAAAGACCATATCAAATTCCCCACAGGCGAGCCGACAGAATATCAGTTTTATAAAACATAGTCCAATTATTTTCCTTTACTTCCATATTTAGTTTAAACTTCTTATCGTTTACTGTTGCAAGACAAGATCCTTCTTATTAGATGAGTCTGAGGTGCTAAACTGAAACCTGGCAGACATGTTGACCTGGGCCGCCACAGGAAAGGAAATTGCTCTACTCTTAATGTTTTTAACCGCATCCTGCTTGACTCCGCCACACCAATACACCATTTGAATAATTAATAATTTCATTTATGCCGTTAGATAAGTGAACATTAAAGAAAAAAATCACTGGCTACTGCAATGATTTACATAAGAATTGTTACACTGCGATTGCCAGTATCAGTATTTAAATATGTTGTGGTCGATTTTCTTATTACAAATCAGAAGGTAAACATTTATATTGTATGTTGTTTATTGAGTTAGATCTGTTTTATGTCGTTCCGCTTTCACTCCTTTATAAAGTATGTGATGCTAACATTTTATTTAATTTGTTTGCCACTCAAAACTCAGAGAGAAAAGTGAATATATGAATTTCAATTACACTTGTTGCTTTTCCATATGTATAATGCATTTCCGTGATATTACACCCGCCTGACACCAGCATACAATTAGTTCACTAGAAAACACCTTCATAATATCGCATTTCCACCTCATCCTACTTAAGGCATTTCAATACTGGGAACTGATAACTAAAAAAATATAATTGTAATTGTGTATACTAAGTACTTATCTATTATAGACAGAAGAAAAGGAATATTTATCTCTGAAACAAGTTCTCCTTGACATTAAAGAGATATGTTCAACAATGGAAAATAAAGTAGAGCTATATTGTAATTTTTTGTTTGTTTATTCCCTCACACGGAGCACATATCACACACCTACCACATATACAAGCATACAACACACCTACCATATATACAAGCATGCAACACACCTACCATATATACAAGCATGCAACACACCTACCATATATACAAGCATGCAACACACCTACCATATATACAAGCATACACCACACACCTACCACATATGTAAGCACAGACCACACCCACCTCACTTAAAAGCATTTAACACGTACAGTATGTACCCACTCCTAAAACACGGAACGCCCCTGTGTCTCCACGAGCAACCACACAACACTAACGTACCTACATCTGTAATCATACTTTATGCACGAACCCACACACACAAGTATGTACTCTCACATTAAACACAACACACGTTAGTCATATATATATATATATATATATATATATATATATATATATATATATATATATATATATATATATATATATATATATATATATATATATATATATATATATAATTAAAATGGCTTTCCTGAATATACTGTATAATAAAGCAGAAAATTGTCCCACGACGAAAAATTATCCCAATTTTTAAGAGACATATTTCATTAGAGTGCTACATTTTTAAGTTACTTTAGTAAAAAAAATCATTACCTAAATATAATAAATGCCTCAGTAATTTATGCCCTCTGCTCTCAGACTGTTGAGTTAATTCATTGTTTGTATCAACGTGTTTTTTTAAGTGTTTTACAAACACGTTTCATGTGGCCGAGACCCGTGTAATTCCCCCCAATTAAATTAAATTTATGTATTTCTGGTTGAGGAAATTTGGAGGCTAGAGGATTCCTGGTCAACTGCTACCAATCACCTTTGTCTATAAATGGCCGGCTGACCAGTCAAATTAAACCTTTAAACCTGCGCACGACAAATTACTTTAAACACCATATTCCAGGAGTTTTATACCTTCTTCTATAAGTTTATATATCCAAATTTATTACACATATACATTATAAAAACTCCTTAAATGTGGTCCTTGACTGGTTCCTCCACAACATTGATAGTCTGTTCGTTATTTCAACTTAATCTTTAAGACAATACAAATTTATTCTGAAACCCGTATTGATTTTGCTTCCAGTTCCAGTAAGTGTGATGAAAATATGGATGAAAAAGACAATTGAAATTGTTACTTAGGAGAACGGTTCTTATGGATAATATGATCAATTTTATCTTTAATCTATATTTTTCTAAACAAAAGTGAAAACGGAGGGGAAGTGATTGTATGAAATGTCATTGTAAAATTTCTTCATGAAAAAAATGGTTACAATTATGTTGTTACTGCTATCAAAATTTGGGTAATTTTAACAATACTTTATATTGGTAGAATCAAAGAGAAGTGTGTTGTCTAAATGTTAATATAGTGTGTAACATAAACATAAGATAATATTGTGAGTTAATAACAAACAGAAGCAGATCCTTTATTGTAAATCAAATGTAAGAGTTAGAAGAATAATAACCATATAGAATTCTTTAAGATTATGAAATATTAAGTTAACCAATTTACAACAACAACAATTCTACAACCATAATTACAGAGTTGGTTCCCCAGATGTTTCCTATTAGATACTCGTGTCTACTTTCCAGTCCAACCTGCATTAATTAACTGCTATCCCTACAAGAGTGAAACCACATTAATATATATAGTGTCCTTGAACATGGAGCAGGTGTGTGCGTCACCTGGCCACGTGGTACAGGCAGCCCCCTTATTTAACGGCACATCTGTCCCTCTGCAGCAGTGCTAACCTCACCTGACTCCAGCACACAGTGTCCAGCATACACTCGCTGATCTACCACGAGTGAGTCACAACCTTGCGTGTAGTTACTGTCTTATGTTCATCACTTACAAACTGTCAGCTGCAAAAACCTGTTAATATATTTTCTTCCACTCAGTAAGTAGAGACATACTCTCAGTGTCAACCGTAGTGGTTTCTCAGCTCAAAACTTAACCTTCTTGTTACAGAGATGGAGTGGATAACTAGAGGGATGAGTCTCTCCTTCCTGGTGCTTTCTCTCGTGTCTCTGTCAGTGCAGCAACATGGTAAGAAACTCTCTATCTCTTTATTTATACATGAGGGAGACTTTAGTGTTGAGGGACGAGTTTTTGGTAGGTCTTGTGTGAAGTGATAAATGTATAGTTGTATATCATTGGTTATTTGGGTCCTTGTTGTGGATGGAGAGTTAAGTAGAAGACCAAAACTTCTATTACACCAAAATGACTTGATGGAGTGGAGCTTTAGGTGAATGACTTAGTTCATCTTAAGATGTTCTGTATGAAGATGATGTTTAATATATGTTTTCTTGTTACACCCAAGAGCCAAAGAAAAAGAACAACCAAAGGTATGTAAAAAAAGGAAAAGAAAAGGCTTGAGGTTAAGGAGGGAGATGAGGGTGGTGGGGTGGGGCACGGGTCACTTTACCTCTACAGTATATGACATGAACCTTTAGCAGAGTCACTGTCGCCCTCACATTTGAAGTCCCTTGTCCTAGTGTGTATCTCTCTAGTTCACCAAAGACTTAAAGTTGGCTGAATATTCATATTGCTGAGTTTGTCATATATATTACAGTGAATTTCAAAGAATCGATTGTTATTTCTTAATCTGTAAAAGTCCCTCACTCTTCTCTTTTCAGAATACGATTGTCTTACTGAACCGGTTGGGGCCAGATGCTGCTGTTATGGAAAGGATTTGTTTAACCACGGGGAGGTGGTAGTGTCCCTGCCAGAGTCTTGCCTTCAGCTGGTGTGTCAAGACACCCACATAGTCGCCGAGTATTTCAACAGTCCCGGGGATAGTCACTGTAAGTCTCAAGGTTGTGACTGTTTGTCTGTTCTCTGTGTGTCTCACACTTTCTGACTTGTATTCTTTCCTTCTACAGGTTGTGAGTTTAACGGCCAAGTGTACCCCGATGGGTGTGTGTTGACGGGCCAATGTCTGGAGGTGATATGTAGGCGAGGCCGCTGGTTCCTGACCGGGAATTACGATGAGTGCTGTGAGTTACCGGGTCAAGATGATTATTATGTAGTACTTGTTTCTACAGTTAAAACTGTTAATCTCCAACAAACTTCTTTAGATGTGTATGGAGACCATGACGTAGGTACAACACAGGTATAGAATAAGGTTTTATCTGTAGCACAATATGGGTATTGTGTCTTAGACAAGTACAGATTGATAAATAATCACTGAATCGTTAATTGCTTATTTACTTTCTTCAAGTATCTACTTTATACCACCACTGAAGGTGCTCACTGCGAACTCACCAACGACCCACACATCACAACCTTCGACGGCTACCGGTATGACTGGCACGGCACCTGCAACTACTCCGTCACGCAAAGCGACTTTAGCCTTGATCCACATGTGGGCGTCTTTAGCGACTTCGAGCCGTGCAATGCGTGGGCATCTTGCCTCGGCCACACCACCTTCAGGGACAACCCCAACACTATCATAACCATGCGTGTCTCCAGCCTCTTCTTGGTAAATTTTATTCATCCAATGTAAAAACTTCCTCAAACTTTGCTTCTCATTGTGAATAGATTGTCACTTCAAAATAAAATAGATGTTTCTGATATAATATAACAATCAAGTTGTTGCTATATATGGAGGCCGCTTGAATAGATAAATGATAGATGAAGACAAAGATGAGCGGTTATGTAATAACTAACTTGTGTTGGGTGAGGCAGCCCCTGGTGAATGGCATCCCGTACCCTGTTCCGACGTCACTCTCCCAAGTTATCGTCAACGGCGTCCCCCATCCTGTGCTTGCCTACAAAAGTGGTTCATGTGTGACGTTTATCGGGTCCTGCCAGCTAGTGGTGAGTGTGACAGTCCAGTGCAATGCGTGCTGCTTGTGGTGTGGTCACTCACTGTGCTACCTCACCACCCCTAGTGTAGGATGCAGCAGTATACTAACACCTCTAGTGTATGGTGCAGCAGTGTACTAACACCTCTAGTGTAGGATGCAGCAGTATACCAACACCCCTAGTGTAGGATGCAGCAGTATACCAACACCCATAGTGTAGGATGTATTAGTATACTCTCACCCCTAGTATAGGATGCAGCAGTATACCAACACCCATAGTGTAGGATGTATTAGTATACTCTCACCCCTAGTATAAGATGCAGCAGTATACCAACACCCATAGTGTAGGATGTATTAGTATACTCTCACCCCTAGTGTAGGATGCAGCAGTATACCAACACCCATAGTGTAGGATGTATTAGTATACTCTCACCCCTAGTGTAGGATGCAGCAGTATACCAACACCCTTAGTGTAGGATGTAGTAGTCTACTAACTTCCTTAGTGTATGATACATCAGTATAGTAACACCCATAGTGTAGGATGCAGCAGTGTACTCTTACCCCTAGTGTAGGTTGCAGCAGTATACCAACACCCTTGGTGTATGTTAACAGGTGCGTCATTGCTCTAACCGACTGGACGTGATAGCACACCCAGCACATATGAGGCAGCTGGACGGGCTCTGTGGTCACTTCAACGGGTACCAGATGGACGACTTCACCAGCAGGCAGGAAGTGGTGCACCCCCTTCAGTACAGACCTCTCGCCTTCCCTCTCTCTTGGCTAGTAAGTCTCCGGGGTCCTAACAGCTTCACTCTCGTTTGCTCCTGTTGTTATATTCTAATACCTCACTTAACATTCTTATCCAGGTTTTTATGGACGAGACCTAATGAACCATATGTAGAGATCAACAGGATAAATATTATTGAAAGCGTTTCTGTATTTGTCGTAAAAGTCCATTGAGGATATTTCTGACACTAATTATTTAGGATTAAATAAACAATAATTATTCTCACGTAATTTTCTTGGCAGACTGATGACCAATGTGAAGAGAAGTGTAAAGACGAGTGTCCAGAGCTAATGGGCTGTGAGGGCGAGGGAACGGTGAGTTGTTCTCTCTCTCTCTTAGTGACTTATTCATCCTCTGACTCTCCTTTAGTTATCTGTCTCTCCCTTCGTCTCTAACTCCTATACTCTCATTCGCTCAGTTTTTCTTATTATAGGTAAACATATATAAGCTTGACTATGACTATTTTATGTTGTATTGATTTATTTATGACTACCGCGTGAGTTTTATTATACACATTAATATCAGTTTGTTAGCATAAAGTTGTCCGGTTTTATCTCTTTTTGTATAGCATGATCCCTGCACACTCGATCATGATGGCGAAGAGTGGAGACATTACTGGAAACTATGTTGGAAGAAACTCGGTAATATCGTCGGGAAAGATGTGAAACGGCAACATTACATTGGTAAGTGAATGAAGATCTTGTGTTTTTCTGAGGTAACATGATGTAGTTTACACTTGTATATGTTTTAATATGTTTTAAGGCGCCTTATGTGGTCTATGATACACAACAGAAGTCTTAACATGATTGAGAGGTTTAATATTGTAGGGGATATCCTCGGTCACGGGTTATGACTGAGCAGTATCGTCATAAAACATTCACGGGTGAGCTTCATGACCACCTGACACTTCATAGACTTAATAATACCTCAAACGTCTAATATGTTACTGTAAACATTACTCTTTATCTAATGTTTATATATATATATATATATATATATATATATATATATATATGTCTTTCATATTATAGAGTTTTAGTGTACTACATATCAGTGTGTGAGAATACAAGGTCTAAATATCCTGGAGACGAGATGCAATAATACGGACAATCTTTCTTCAATGTGTTTGGAAAGGGAGTAATGCTTAGTGTGTGTAGTAATAATTTCTCTGGAAGTGAGGACTGTAAAGTGAACACGTCTTTGCCTGGATGGGTCACTCAGTGTTGAATGTGAGTAACAACAGAACTTATACAGACTCTTCCGTGTGCACCATCAGAGACTTGCGCCTTTGACCTGTGCATGTTGAATCAAAACAACATGGGCGAGAGGGAAGAGTTCAGGTGGCTGGAGGCACTGGCAGAGAACGCTCACCTGGCCATGGCGATTCCACATTTTAAAGGAGGTTAGTCGCTTTACTTAGCAACTTAGTTTTCTCATTGAACACATTGTTATTTGGAATGAACAATCTGTGTCTACTTTTGTGCTTGTTAACCTGTCTGTCACTATACCTACTTCCTGTCCAACCTATTACACACTTAAGTCTCTACTTACTCTTTTAAACTTAATCAGATATTTATGTAGACCATTGTTCTGGAATTATTAATAAGGTGTTTCTTATTTTAGAGAAAGGCAAGAAAGTGACAAAAGGATTCACAACTACTACGACAACGGAAACTACAACAACCACAACAACTTCAACAACCACAACAACCACAACAACTACAACAACCATGTCAACAACCACAACAACCACAACAACCACAACCACAACAACTATAACAACCACGTCAACAACCACGACCACAACAACTACAACAACCACGTCAACAACCACAACAACAACAACAACTACAACAAAGGCCCACGTCAACAACCTCTCAAATAAAAAGCCAATTATTAACAAAAGAAACAGAAGACCCAGTGATGGACGTAACAGAAACCGAGACCATAAAAGACGTACGAAGAATAAGGTCTTTGAAGCACGGAAAGAAAGCAAAGGCTAAACAAAGGGAAGCAGGACGTGGATAATGAGCAGGAGGAACAGGTGAGGGTATGGGCAGGTGAGGGTATGGGCAGGTGAGGGTATGGGCAGGTGAGAGTATGGGCAGGTGAGGGTATGGGCCTAATGCAGTGAACCTTATACCTGCTTGAACTTTATCACGATATCATATTGTGTCAAATATGAAGGAAATCATCTAACAAGGGATAGGCAGATAGAAAGATAGAAAGTTGGATGATAGGTTGATAATTGAATGAATGGATGGATGGATGGATGGATGGATGGATGGATGGATTCTTCATTAAACATCATTTAAATTTTACATAAAGTTCGTCTGTAAAAATTTCCACTTGTTCGTCTTGTATTAACTCTTCCAGGAGTAACACAACACACGGGAGTACAGCCATCACCGTGAAGGCCAATATCGAAGGTTGTTCTTTAAGATATTTCAATGGAAGGTGAATACAACTTAAACATCACGTTAACATTAAAATTATCACCTTAACCAAATGTTTAATAATTAGTCAACGTCTTGAAAACATAACAACTGGAAATTCTTTTAAAACATCACAATAGTCAACATTATAGACGCTGTGCAGTTGTAAATATCAGAAGTGTGATATGTCTTTGTGATATGTCTTACAATGAGATCCATCCACCAGATCATTACAGTAATTGACTCCATTAACACCTTTATATGGATACTAACACCACTCAGTCGTAGTTTTTGGTGCTTTAACATCGACGAATGCTTGGACAACACCATACAACAGTGATGATGCTTCATTCAACACCAATGACAAGAAGGCATCACCTCTCAACATCGATCAACAACATCGATGAGAACTGAAACAAACATAATATTCTATTTTTTAACTTCACAGACTGGACATAGACGCTTCTGTACATTGACAAGGGAGGACAGTAGAAGTCAACATATCTAGTCCACGGAATAATTGACAGTAAAATATCACCAAAATATTTGTAACTAAACATGAACCATAAACAGAATTTCCCTGTACTGAATAAAATATTGGATTTTTTGGAACACGATAACTGTATTTTATTTCACCCTTGTTGTTACATAGAGATTATTAATATACTATACACTAAAGAAGGAAAACAGAGAGATGAAGAGAGACGCAGTGAGGAAAATGGTGTTACATAGACACAACGGAGAAGCATTAAGTACATACTAACTCGTCCCTATACGAAATTGCCCTCATACTAACTCACCCCCCATACACATACAAACTCGCCCCTATACAAACTGGTTCCCACACTAACTCGCCCCTACACTAACTTTTCCGTTTACTAACTCGCCCCCATGCAAACTCACCCCCATACAAATTCTCCCCCATGCAAGCTCGCCGCTATACTAACTCCCTATGTTAATTTCCTATTTGAAGAGAAATAGTGTTTCCCCTCCTACTGGAATATTGACAAGATGTTAAATTTTGCTAATATATCATAGCCTGACGTAAATAAGAACAATTATGGAAAATATAAGTACGTCAATATATTATCTTGTCTCACGTAAGAGTTATTAAGTTACGGATAACATGATAACATTCTGGAGAGGCTTTAACATGTTGTGTATAAGTGAAGAATGATGTAACATGACGTATTCGTGATTCATTATAATTAACGATTGAGAAGAAAGACTGATATCAAGGTGTAGTGTTGTATTACTGAAACAAAATATCACCAAGACTGAACCAGCTGCTACAACTCTCTCTGGTGGAGGTGGCAGACGAAAGGGCAGACACCGCGTATAGTACACAGTGACAGTATAAAAGGTTGTCGTTTGCAACTATTGGAGACGTCATCAGCAGGTTAGATGGTGGTGGAGAACAGCATTATGCCTTGTCCTTGATGAAACGCTCAGGGAAGAGGAGTTTGTTCTGCTTCGTGGGTAAATTCCTCCAAAACTCTTGTATCTGTAAACACAAATTTAGATTATTACCATAACTTGTGAGGATAAACCTGAAGTTCTCCACCTGAGAACTGCCAAGCGTCGACTCATTCATTAAAGGTTTGGTGGACAGTGTGGTTGCCGGCTTTGGGTCTCACCTCCTTCTTCTCCATAGTGATGAGTGCATTGTTATTTGTATTGTGTAAACTGTCTTCACTTATGTTACAAGTGTTCCTGCTCCGGTTAGGTTAAGTACTGTGTATTGTAAATGATTTAATATTAGGTTTAACAGAGTTGTTTTGTCAACGGCTAAATTCTCTGAGCAAACTTCCTAGTTAGTAATATTATCGTTATTGTTTCTTGTGCGCATTGTAAAGAGTTTATATTAATCATATTAAGTCATTTTACTTGTTGGTTTTGCTTCACCGATATCTGAGATTAACCAGTCTTTGAAAACGTTCCATGGTAAACAGTTGTATTACTCGAGAACCTAACACAAGGAAGAGTCAACGTATCATGTAGCACTGGGAAGGAGACAGACAAACAGACAGAGCATATGATCAAATACAGGTTACCTCTTGGTTGCCTTCCTTATCCATGATGGGGACGGTAGTGAGAGACAGGAACGTCATGTTGTCTTTGGTTGCCGGAGTCCACCTGAATCCCAGAGATCCATCGGGCGTCGGGTTTCTGTAGCAGGAGTGTGTATCGTTAAGTATTTCAAATCTATTAAACAAGATGAGGAATGTATGTGGTTTGTGTTCTATCTGGATTAAAAATAAAGCATGTGAAGCACAAAAACTTGCAGATCAGCTCAAGATGCGCGAATTTTTCTTTTCCACTAAAACATTTTATGGCCCAGTCTCTCGTGGCACAATCCCCCTCCGCTCATCTGACGGTAACCACATAATTGAAGACGACGAAGGCCTCCTTCAGCGCTGGAAAGAGCATTACCATTCATTGCTTAAACGAAACATCGATGTGGATGTCCTGGCCACTCAGCAGGTCCCTCAGCATCCAGAGCTGATCCACCTCAGCTATCCTCCATAAGACGACTCCATGCAAGAAGAAAGTGTCGGCAGTTTCCATTACTGAACTTCAGTATGCAGATGACCTCACCCGTGTTACTCACACTGAACACGACCTTCAGGGGATCCTGAACACCGTACTCAGACGCGTATGCACACTTCGGCCTTGAGGTGAATGTACGTAATACTCAGATTCTCTTTCAACCTGCCCCTGGTTCAGACACACCTTCACCATCCATCCAGCTTAACGGTACTACCCTCTCTAATGTTGCTCACTTTCGGTATCTCGGCTCCCACCTGTCCACCACCGCAGACATCGATGAAGAGATTCAGCATCGGATCAGATATGCATCTCAAGCATTGAGCGGACTCCGAAATCATGTCTTCAGCTGTAGGGGGATGAAATTATCCACAAAGTTGCACGTATATCGAGCAATTACTATATGGCAGTGAGACATGGGTCACATACAGGCGGCACCTCAAGGCACTTGAAAAGTTTCACCAACGTAGTCTACGTTCCATCCTCCGAGTTCGCTGATAAGACAAGAGAACAAATGCCAATATTCTTGCTGACACCAACTGTAGGAGCATCGAGGCTACCATTATCCATGAACAACTACGTTGGACTGGCCATGTTACTCGCATGGGTGACAGTAGACTGCCACTGCAGCTATACTTTACAGTCACCTAACGAATAGTAAACGTAACGCTGGCGGGCAATTGAAAAGGTATAAGGATAGTCTTAAGACAAACCCGAGAAGGTGCCAAATCGACCCCTTCACCTGGGAATCGATTACTCCACATCGTAACGCTTGGAGGAGCACCACACGAGAAGGTGTCAATACTTTCGAGTTAGCCCGACTGCAAACCGAGGCAGACAAGCGCCAACGTCGGAAAGACGCTGCCACCTCCCCTCCCACAGTAGATGGAGCCCTCCACAAGTGCAACGAATGTGGACGACGCTGCGGGTCCCGTATCGGCCGCTTTAGTCACATCAAAACTCACCAATCTACAGTAGGTGACATCCCTAATAACTCATATCATTGTATCATAGCTGGATGATCGTCATACTCGATTCCGAGTGTTTCGGTTGGGTATTCAAAATCCTTCGTCCTGTCATATTTTTTTCAACAGAATTTTGTATAGATAATTTTGGAGGTTACTGTACATGTGTTTATTGATTTTCAGGAAAGCATGACTTACAATTTGTATTTTTTTCGAAATGTTAAAACAAGTATTACTTTAACTTTCATTTAGATTTATTTTGTTATAACTACGATAAATCTCAAATTCATTTCCTTTTTGGCGTTTTTAAATCTTTTTTTTATTGAATTACCACATGATGTGGTAAAAATCTGCAGCAGAGAAATATTAAGGCCTGTTAACAGTGATTTATGAATGAAAAAACATGTGATTTTTTTTTACTTTTGATTATAAATTTTTATTTTACTTCTGTTTATGAATTATAACTTCCGTGTACCTGTCCTGTACAAATGATATCTATTTAATATAAACCCCCGTGACTTCTACTATCACCAATAAGGCAGTATATAGAGTTTTCGATACGTTGTTCCAGTCCTAAAATTGTAGTAATTACTTTTGTGTTGCCAACCTTACCCGGTGGCAGCGAAGTTAGTCCAGAGGTCGACCATGATCTCACTGAGGAAGAGATCGCCAGAGTGTTGCAGGGGTTGGAAGGGCGGCATGCCACTGAAGAGGTACTGTAGGTCGTCACCGTGATTCACCTCTGTAAGTGCCAGCAAGGTTTTGTGTCAGTATCTAATCACTGCTTCACCGGAAACGTTTACATAATATCAATGGTTAGTTTCATTCGGTATATGATATTTACAAATCAAAATTACAAACGAACCAACAAATCACTGAAGATATTGAGAGCCAAAAATTAGTCACATATCTGGAATTAATCCCTAGTACTTAAAATTTAAAAGGTACTGTAACTAAGATAAATAAACAGGTCAATACATGGATAACTTTCCTCAGTCGAGTTATTAACGACTGTTGAATATCAAAATTTCACTAATGCTCACTGGCAGATTTACTCTACTCAACCTAGACATCAATAATATGGAACTAAGTCATTATGAGTCACACAATATGTTTAAGCCGTATGTTAGAGGCATAAGAATATTAGCTGAGAATGGCAATACAATATCAATGTTAAAACTTACTGCCGTTTCCACCACTGGGAGAACCTGTTAAAGCGTCAGGTAAATTTTGTTGACCTTGGTGGCGAAGTTCATATAGGTATACGTTCCAGTCCTTGTTTTGGCTGTGGAAGTAGGCAGCGTCCTCGTGACACGTCTTTATAAATCTGTCCCCAAACATCTGAAACAATACCCATCATTAACACAGGGACATGATGAGTAATCTAGACTGTCACACTCATATTTTTTTTTTTTTTTAATTCTACCATAAAAATGTAAGCTATTTTTAAATCTTCAGCCTCGGGTAAAACAAAAGATCGACGATGCATATTCCCAGTTTCAAATAACATTAAAGTAACACACACACCGTAGACAATGAGGTTGTTCTATGGTTCTGTCACATATTTTTTCTCTAACTGGACCATACTTCTCTAAATAACTGGAAAATGCTGCACACACAAACTACATTTCATCAATAAAGTATTTCTTAAGTCACTGAACCGAATCGACGTTCAGTGGCAGGAAGGGGAGTTAAATATTACGTGATATAACGCATAATATTATCTTGCTTCACCTGATTACTGTATGAAAGATTGGGAGAGAGTTAAAGCACATCCACCCATCAGCAGTGGAGGACATGGATGTTAACCTGTGACAATAAATGAAATTGGCCCTCCGTCAGATCGATGTCTCCTCCTAAGTAGTGGTGGAAGACTCGTTGAGCGAGGTATTCTGGTCGTTCTTCCCACTCCTCGAAGCCTAACACGACTGGACTGTATTTGGGGAAGGTCGCATTTAACATGTTCAAATCTGTCTTTCTTTTCTGCGAGAATAAGTCTGTCAAGAGAAGATAAATGTGTTGATGATTGATTATTAAATTATCATTCCTTATATATAATAAACACTTAAAGACAAACACATTAAACCAAAAAGTGAGCTGTACAAGTTTACTTCGAGCTTATCAAATTAAAGTTAAATAAGTACAGTCACCGGACAAAAGTCTTTTCGCCTCTCCTGCTTAACCACGAACCCTGATAATTTATTCAGACTCATGAATCCGAAGAATTTTTGGAGAGAATAATGCATCAATATCTACTGCTTCGGGTTCACAAGACTGAATCTTGGGGTTCGTGGTTCAGGAGGAGAGGCGACAGGACTTTTGTGAATGATTGTACATGACGAAACTCATTTTAGAAATAAACTTACCGATAACAATTATGGAGCCCTCATCCAAGTTGATGCCGGCCATGATGTTTACTTTGTTGTACCTGCCAGCACTCAGCATGGAGGCGGGGTGGTCGAGCAGGAAGTTACCATCAACGCGAGGTAGGGTCATCCACGGAAAGTTGCCCCACTTCTGTGATAATATGGAACGTTTTTCCTTAAGTTTTTGCGTGTTTTTATTCCTTCTCGCCGTCCCCCTCTCCTGGTTGAGCTTAATAAAGATCACACTAACATAATGACCCAAACTTATGGATTGTTATAACTGTGAAGGCAGTCACACAAGTCAAACTAATCTTGAGAGTTACAAGAAACAATTGACTTTAACACGACCGATGTACCAAACCTTCTCACTTAAGGGTACAGTACAGGGTTAAAACGCCCGAATGAGTTGAATTAGTGAGTATGTTTTCATATGCCGCAGACATTACCCATCAATAGACTCTGAAAGAAACATACCCATATCCAGTAAACCCTCTGAATACCAGACATCTCAATAATGGACAAGACTTTGCAAGAATTTGTCTGGTTTTGAGAGGGTTTCCAGTACTCTGAACATTGTACAAGTATTTACGGTTCTCAAGAATATGATACTTTAACATGGATAATAGTGTTTGTATAACTTACAAAAAACTTAAGTTGAGAAAGAATGAGATCATCGACTGGAACCTCATTGAGGCAGTCGAGGAGCCGGTTACTGTCCAGGTCAGGAGACTCCGCATCCGAGCATGTGTACATTTCCCCCAGGGTGACTGCCACTTCTTTGTGGTCTTCCCTCAGGGCCCACGGACACAATGCCGTCCCTGACTGCATGATAGCTTGCTGGAAAAGCCCTGATAAGAAAGAGAAAATGAGAGACGTTACAGAGTGTGGTTTATAAGCTACTTGTATGTCTGGTGTTTACAGTTAAAACTAATAGAAGACTTCATACCACGCCAAATTTCCAGAGAGTTACTGGAGGAATGCCGAGTTTTTCATGAAACACAGATAAATAATTATCAAATGAGTTTGAAATAAATACTTTCATCACGACATCTTACCGGCAGCGTGTGGCGTCAGAATTTGGAAGTGGACAGACGCCGACCCGGCACTCTCCCCGAAGATCGTTACCTTCTCTGGGTCACCTCCGAAACTACGGATGTTCTCCTGTACCCAGCGGAGGGCCACCGTTTGGTCCTTCAGCCCAAGGTTCCCTGGCAGTACTTCGTCTTCCGTAGACAAGAAGCCTATAATATAAATCACGGTAACACGTACAGAGTACAGTATATGGAGTTCTTCCAACGCTCGCCATCTATAATTCCATGATTCTTGCATAAAAATTCGCACTGCACGCTAACAGTCTCATGGTTATATAAATCTGGGAGGTGGAACTAGCAGCCGCTGATCACGTCTTGAGAGGATCAACTGACGAGTTAGAGAAAGTGACAATTTGTGACCAGACAGCACAGCCTACTGTAACGTGGCAAATTTAGTTGACTTGGACCAAGTGAAGAACCTTTAGTAAAGTCATTTTTTGGCAGTTCACTTGTTGTTGTCGACAGTGTCAACAAACGTTAACTTTTGTTGTGTATAATATTATTTTTGTTATACTGTAACAATGTGACATAATATATGCACCAAACTTCATATAAAAATTATCCTAAATCCTCAGTCACCATGTTGAAAGAGTCAGGAGGAACAACTTCATAAACAGTATTCGTTTAGTTTATAGTGAACTAAATGACAGCAAGACATCTTGAGAGCAGATTATATGTTTATTTTCCATACTATTTTTTAATAAGATATAAAGCTTTCAACCAAAAGGAGAGTCCCTTACCTAACACACCAAGACGGTACTGAATGGCGACGAGGACCACATCTTTGTTGAGGAGAGGCAGCGGGCCGCAGCCAATCATGCTGCCCAAGATAAACGCCCCACCATGGATGTACACCATCACAGGCAAATCTGAAGAATATGGCTGCCACAAGAGCGGGCGGGAGGTTAAACATTAACGTGTAATGACAATTTATTGAGATTACTGAAACATGAATTCTGCTTTAACCATGAACATCAGGTGTCCGTTACAATTGTTAAAACAAAAACAGCCAAAATATTATTCTTCCTTACGTGTAGTATAACTATTTTCAGGTAACATATTCATTAATGTTTTCCATTTCTTAATGTCGGGTTGAGTCTATCAGTGAATTATATTTGTTGAATTGCGACAGCCTCAGGTTTAGAAAGATGTTGACGTACAGTACAGTTAGCTCCACTTCTGACTTTACTACTTAGCGCAGGAGTAGAGCCAACTGTACCTTGACTTGGGGTGTAGGGACTGAGGCCTATGAGCCATAAAAACATTTGTTTCCTGTTTATTAAAAGTTGTCTTCCTCTGTATACCGCTACATACTGTATCATAAGTTTCTTCTACGAGATCCTTAATGTGTGTGTGTGTGTGGCTAAACCACTCCGAGTTGGCTTTAAGTAAATCACTTCTGATACTTTGTGGTGCAAATACATACATCTTAAGGTGATAAGAAATTTGCACAGTTCATTTAGTTCGCAGCGAATAGATAGACGCTCAAACTTTCAACTCCACGCTGGTTTATGACAAAATATGTAACATGTTTATCAAATAGTTTTACAATAATACTCACCCGAGGCGTGAAAACATTGAGAAAGAGGCAATCCTCGTCACCCACCACTGCTTCCTCGTCTTTAAATAAGGCCACAATGTCTATCTGTTTACACACCGGTGGATCCTCGGTGCCATTCCTCTCCCCCGTCCAGCCACCAGCAGGCAACGGGTCCTGGGAAAAGTGTGCACCTAAGTCAGTAAAGATTCGCTAAGCATACACGACACTTGTATACATTCCCGAGTGCTACATCATAGAATGTTGTAGTCATCAGGCAGGTCCTGGCGTCTTTCAAATTATTGTCATACTGGCTGATTTACCAGACTTGGCCCGGGTGTAGGGACAGGGAATGGTAAGCGACTATCTTATGGACCAGTGGTTCGGAAACTTTGTTGACGCCTGCAACCCTCTGGGACCAGCTTATATCTTGTGTGTTATTTTAACCATATATCGAAGATCAAATGGCAAAACTTTACATGCCAGTGACCTGCTACTTTTCATACCGTTGTTGTTTTCCTGTTGACAATACTACTTCAGCTGCTGTTATTGTTACAACTACCACTATTGATTATCATTCCTCTTAATTTTATATCAATAAGAATACATTTATTACCTTCATCCTGAGGTCGCCGACGGGAGGTTCGGCGTAGGGGATGCCCTTGAAACTATAGATGAACCTTCCCGCGTCGGCTTCCTCCCTGGACCCAATGATGACGCCCTGTTGCAACTCTATCTTTACCGTGTTCTCGGTCTGCTGATGCGTGACCACAGCCACCACCAGCAGCCACAGTAACACCTTCATCATCCTCACGCTGCGGGAACACACGTACAGGTGCAGTACTTAAAGATTCATTATATAAGACGCGTTTAGTATACACCATAAAGAAGAAACACAAAGCACACGAATCACGCATATATTAATTTACGAAACAATTGTGGAGAAATGAACACACGAAGGTAATAACAATGCTGCAAAACCACTGAAATCCAGAGCTGACCATCAAGTCCTACCTTTTACTGCAGCTTAGAGGACAAGGGAAGCGTATAGCAGACAGGCTCTGTCAACTGTGGCCACAAACCAACTGAGACTGTCCATTCTCGCTCAACACACACACACACACACACACACAGGATACTTAGTCATCATCCATTCTGTATTTTTAGCGGCGTCAACTAAACAGCTCATTACCTCTCGCTCAGGTGTATCACAATGGCTTACTCCTCCTGTAGCAAAGTGGAGGTGACGATAGCGTGTTTAGGAAGTGGCGTGTCTGGTCATACATACATACATACATACATACATACATACATACATACATACATACATACACACATACATACAAACACACATACATAAATACATACTGTACATACATACATACACACATACATACATACATACATACATACATACATACATACATACATACACACATACATACAAACACACATACATAAATACATACATACATACATACATACATATGCCAGTAGCTATCTATACATACATTTACAAACACGTTAATACAGTCATACATAGTTTTCTCGATTCCGAACATACATCCTGGACACGAGAAAACACCATTTTGCTACACACTCGAGTGACGGGTAATGAGCCACTACTTCACGCTTCTAATCCACTGGAGGATTTACCTGAGCACTGACGCCTAAGAATCCTGCGGTGTACAACAGATGGTTTAACTTGTCGGATATAAGACAAATATATATCCGAGTTGAATAAAAGATGTGAAACAAAACAGAAACGATGATATGTGAACAGGTATGATATAATGTAATACAACACTAGATATATTGATGAGTTGTGGTGATGTATAAGAAATCAGCATTATAAGGTCCATTGAATGTGTTGCTATTGGTGAAGTGAGAGGCAGGAACTATAGGTAGTTGGGGAGATGATAACGGTGTGAGCAATGGGTGGCGTGAGGAGGATGACGATGGGGGGTGAGGGGAGGTCTTCACGCAATAGTCAGGTAGAACGGAATGTTGGAGTGAGGATATTTCTCATGGCTCTCTGGGATGTCGTGGGAAGGAGGGTCGTGACTAAGAAATCCGAAGAAGAAGACGACCTGTCCTTGTTTTACAGTTTTTAAAGTCGAGATTTATTCGTATAATGCTGTCGAGGTTTGACTTAATTTCCTTTTCTTCAATATTAAACCTGTCTTCTTCTTCTTCTTCTTCTTCTTCTTCTTCTTCTTCTTCTTCTTCTCCTTCTTCTTCTTCTTCTTCTTCTTCTTCTTCTTCTTCTTCTTCTTCTTCTTCTTTATTATTATTATTATTATTATAAACGGACAGGTGTGCTGGTATAAACGAATGCCCCTTTTCGCAACATAAAGAGGCAGCTGAGGCCGACATTCACTCAACTACCTTATTTTTCTCCAAATATATGTGTTAGGTACCCATTCATATCTGCGGGGACTGGGAAATACTCCAGCCTCGAACCAGTAACCCTTAAGACAGCAGACAAGTACTGTATCCACTCGACAGCTCCTTGCGATCATGTCAGGAATAAGTCTCATAAATATTTCGTCGTTCAAATCATCGTTTATTCAATCAGTTTCTACAGAATATGAGAATTAATAACATTTATCATGTATATAGACATATTTAAAAAGCCAATAACGCGTCATTTTCAAAGGCTAGTTAGTTTGGGTTAATTAAAATAGTTATCCTCTGCAGCTGTTAATTTTCTTTGATATATCCGTGCTCTAATTTTTAAGGTAGCGTTATCGTTCCGTGTGTATGAGCTAGACATGCAACATATAGATTAGTTCAAAGAGCATGTGATACGCAAACACACGCATAATAAACACATATGATACACACACACATAAAACAAGCACATAAAAGAGAAAAACACATGTATCAAACACCTATGATACACACACAGCCACACATAGTAAGCACCCATAATACACAAATAAACATATAATAAGCACATATGATACACAAACACATAATGAATGAGTATCCGATACACACACACACACATACACACACACACACACACATACACACACACATATACACAAACACGCACACACACGCACACAAATAACGTAAACACACAGTCATGCTTGCACATATAATATAAATGCACATACACACGCCCCAATAAAAACATATTTACTCGACCATCAACATGATTCGCTTAATCTATTTTACTGCAGCTGTGTTTAGTAAGCAGACAAAATACTCGGATAATTTGCATATCGTCTTCACTTCACCCATGCGTGGTAAGATCCAGATTAGGGGAGTTACCGCTGGTGTGAGTGAGAAAACGGGTTATGCTGCCAGAGAATTAGAAGGAACGTGCTCTTATACTAGGAAATAGATGTCGTGTAAGGAAATTTCTACCGTTAGTTCCATCATGGTTAATGTAGGTTGATAAAAAACGGCTTGGATTATTTGTTTTTAATTATTATTTTGAAAAACATGATTATCTAAGTATTTATTGAGTTGGTTTGAATTTTGGAAGTATATTCTATCGTCTGAGTAAGAAAGAGTCGTCAACAAAACAAAAAAATGGTGTTTTGTCGTGGTGTTTAGCTAGAAATAAACATAGCTTCGTCAATATGAGTGAGTGTGGCAATACAGCTGTGACAGACCAGACCATAGCAACACACTCATGTCAAAGTGGGTGATTATGGCATTAATAAATTCCTGTACTGTATAATTCTTCAACACTTTTTTAGGGGGGCATAGGGTTTGTTCATTCGTGGTGTGAGCTCCAGGTAAAGCTAAACTTGTTTCTTCGTTTATTACAGATAACCCGTTTAGAAACCCGTTTTCTCACTCTTAGTAGCGGTGACTCGTCCATTCTGGGTTTACTTGCTCCATCTTACATTATGTAAGATGGAGCAGAAAATTTCTAGTCCGGTCAGGTCAAGAATCCAATAAAAATGTTGATGTGTGTGGGTGTGTACAAGGTATATGTCTATTTGTATGTACAGATAAATTTAGTGAGGGAGCACTTTAGAATAGAATACAAATACAATGACTCATGAACACTTAAAAAGAGATGCTTATCACATATAAGTGAACTACAGTATATATAACTATTATGTTATGTTATATAACGTTAGAGTTATATGCAGTTCACTTATATGTGATACAATATCACTTGTCATATATTTTCTTATATTTATGTACACACAGAAAAAAGTACCGCACGGATTATGTGTGAAACAATATGACACCACGGACGAGGGATAGTGGAATATGCGTGTTGGTCCTGTATTATGGTGGTAGTCCTGCTGTCCTTGCCTGAGGGTGTCCTAACATATCTTTTGTTAACGACATATCCTGCCGTATATATATAGGTATGCATACCAACCCTCCCGCCACATCAGGTGACGTAGGGATCATTATACGGAAGTCCGCAGCCCCCCCCCCCCCTGCGCGAGGCTGTTTTACTGTGTGTACAGCACAAGAAGAAAACTTGCATTGCTTACTAACCTGTCTTAGACCCTTGTGGTGGGGGAGAAGTACTGTCTCAGCGGCGTCCAGCTGGCAGCTGTACACTGAGTGTGAGTCTGTGAGAGGACTCATAGTTGTCCTCGCTGCTCAACCATCACGAGATGCCACAAGTCCATTATGCTGCTCGGGAAAACGATATAAACGGCATTAACTGATAACACCAGCACATAATAACATTTTTTTTATTTTTTACGGTCATTAACCCACTCAGGCACAGGTCATTTTTAATGACCCACATCAAGGCCTTGGGGGCGAAAGTATAATAAAACAACAATAATAACAATAATAATAATAATAATGATAATAATAATAATAATAATAATAATGAAATTAATAAAAATAAATAACAATTATAACAATTAATATAAATTATAAATAATAATAATAATAATAATGAGCCATAAATAAATTTAGAAAAAATGAAAAAATATCAAGAGTGAGAAATACTGTATGTATATTGTGTTGTCAAAGTAAGAGAAACAATTGAGACCCTGCAATTAAGTGTAAATGAGGCAGAAAGTCAGATCAGCAACCTGGGACTTGGTCACAATTTTCGTGATGCCATATGGCAGCAGGGTCTACCATTAGACAACACATTATGCTTCCACCAGCTGATCTAGAAATTCGCCAAAAAGTCGCTAGTCGCAGTATACAGTATGTTATCTAGTCGCAAAGAGGAATCCAAATTCGCCTGTTGATGATTTAAAATTCGTGCATCATAACGGTCGTTCCCTCGACAACAAATTATATAGTTTTAACTTTTAAACAAAATCAGCATATATAAACATGGAGGGGGGGGGGGCACCGTTGAAAAACGAGAGGGTATTGACCCCTAGTGCCCCCGTGGCGACGCCCCTGTTACAGTATGTGAAAACTGTAGAATTATCTTTCATATAGATAACTCGATGAGCACTCTTGACTTATCAACGATACCCTTGTTGTGTTCCGCGTGTCCCAGAAAGCTCTTATTATTAAGAGTCATGTATAATATTAACAAAATCAGTAATTGCCGCTCTAATATTTGAGGCAGCCAACACTCGACACACTAACAGTGAGAGGAAGGAGGACAGATGATACAACGTGGCTGTAAAGTTTATTCCGGTGACTCAGTTTTAGTTTTCATTTAGTGTAAATATGATGAGTTGCTAAAGGTTGTACTGTAGTGGATTTCTCCCCTACTAACGCTGTTTGTCGCTGAGTAGCCGACCCCTCGAATTCCCCAGTCTATGCCTCGTGGTCTAGGTCAATCAGCGCCGCCTTACATCACGGAGGTCAACTATTAAGCCACGCCTACCTCCGCTATATAAGACCTGACCTCGTGGTGACCTCTCTCTTCTTCTAGCTACAGCCGCAGCAAGCAACACCACCTCCTCCGCCTGCCTGGCGGTCCTCGCTCCCGCCGGCGAGCACGGCGACCCACAAGCTTGTCCTCCTCTGAGCGCCCTCACCAACCAGCTCTCTCTACATCACGCTTGTAACCACGCTGCCTCCTCCCAGCACCAGCCACCAAGCTGCATTGTACATCCAATATAATATGGTTACAGAGAGCACATTGTGAGTTTCCTTTCTCCATCCCATCCTGAGTGTGAACCAAACAACCTGTTCCCCACAGTACCATCACCATCCCGATAAGTACCAGTCGTATACACAGTAGGATGATACGTCTCCTGCTGGTGTCCTTCTGGCTCATGCGGTGTAGTAGCAGCGGTTGGTGTGCCATTAACGCCCTGCAGTGTCCGATACAGGACATGCTGAAGAACATGTCAGGTTATTCAGGAATCGTTCAGGATACAGCAGCGTGTTCTTCTTCAAGGTCATGTTTTCCAGAACTCCATAGTCTGAGGAACCATAAATAATATTATAGCAGAAATCCACTATTAAGACAATCTGAGTGAAGTGTTTTTCAGTATCTGTGATCACGACAAACACTATAGGTTACACTGCCTCTTCTCCATCTCGGTCGCATGAGTTAAGTTTAAATGTTGTGCCTTAGCACAGAAATATGCCTCGCATGTACCTAAACTTGTCCATAACCTAACTCGCAGTAACAGTTAACGTGAACTTGACAATGTTCCCATGTCACGCCAAAGACCATATATCTATAGATACACACACACACACACACAAACAGTACATGGTGTAACAATTATGTGGACAAGTGTCTTTCACATGTACACACATACACACAATTTGACAGTGGTAGCAAGACAGTCTACACCAGCGTTTGTATCTCCGCGTTTATCATGAGAAGCAAGCTAACACTTGTACTGTGTTCACTATGTTAAACAAATTCGTATTATTACTATAGGTAACAAAATTTACGCCGCTGCGGACAGGATTCGAACCTGTGCGGGCAGAGCCCAATGGATTTCGAGTCCATCTCCTTAACCACTCGGACACCACAGCTACCGAATTTTCTATGAACAACGTAATAGAATATTAAAGAAATGATAACCCAAATGATAGTTTATCATCAACGGGTGAAAACTTCCGGGGTTGCGGTGAGCTGTACAACGCTTCTCATCTTGGGAGTTAGAGCAGTTCTCGTATTATAAGGGATTCTTCCGTTTATATGTCTCCCAACTGGATTAAGAGGACGCATTTATATAAGGTAAAACATCAATAAAATCGTGTCGAGTGAGGACCACAAATGAGACAATCTGTTGTACCTTGTCGTATAAGTTACCTCCATGTGAAATAAGTCAAAATTAGACAGAACGAGGCTCATCATGTACTGTACCTTGATGTGAATTAACAGTGCAAGTTGCAGTGTCATGCACACCACTGTGAAAATATCCTCATAGCTATTTAACACAGTGACCAATGACGGCAGCTTAGGCGAATGATCAGCAAGACATGCCATGACAGCCACTACGACCGATGAAAACATGACACCAAGTACAGTATATAATTTTCAGACCCTCGTTCCTCAGCATTTTCTTATGACAACACCCCACAGACTATACATAAACACATAGGTATAGAAAACGTGAAGATTTTTCCAAGCTTAACTACCATAAATATTGATAGATGATGTAAGATTGTAGGTGAAGATGATGAATGAACAATGAGAGTGGAATAGCCTTAAAAAAACATCAATGGTAGTTAGAGTTCCTTAATATCTCTCTTCTATCACAGACACTCATCTCTCTCCGTCTCTCTCTCACACCCATCTTTCTCTCTCTCTCTGAACGTAGATATGTTACACCATTTATCATTATGTATAAAATACTAATTGTATAAATAAATTTGACTCCCTAGTTTATTTTTTTTTTTTTAGTTACATTTTCAATTTCAAGTGTTGTTGGGTCTCCATGTGTGGGCTCGGAGGCACAAGGCCCATTAATCGCATTACTCATACCAGCGTTTTGTATATTTTTGTCGTTGTGTTTTTAGATTTTTTTTTTATCTGGTTATTTTTTTTTTATTTTACTTTTTTGACACGAATTATGTACACGTAATTTTTTTTTTATTCGTAATATGTGCACATTAATCTCTTATTATGAGCGATGTGAACATAAATCATTGTTGCGTACATAAGATATTAATGATGTTAATTGAAAATATATAGTGTAAAATACTTAGGTCTTGGACTGTATTCCCCCCTCTGTCTGTCTGTCTGTCTGTTTCTTTCTATCTGCGTAACTAGTGATTACAACTAAGAGATATTCTCCTCGCTGTAAGATCAAATATATCCAATTATGTCAGACAACTGTAGAGACTAAAATCATTCACAGATAACAAGACAACCCAGAAAATAAGAACGGGAGAGACGAGATATCCAGTAGTTGTGCGAGGCGGGAGTATCGTACTTGAGGGTGTAGCCGCTAGGGGCGCCACCATACAGGTTGAGTCTCCAGTTAAGCCACACCTCTCCTCACGCCCTGTTAGTTAGTTCACCTGCCAAGGGAGGGCGGCGGTGTAACTATACTGGCAAAGTGTGTTAATGTATCAGGGGAGTGTGTTGGTGTACTGGGGAGTGTGTTGGTGTATCAGGGGAGTGTGTTGGTGTACTGGGGAGTGTGTTGGTGTACTGGGGAGTGTGTTGGTGTATCAGGGGAGTGTGTTGGTGTACTGGGGAGTGTGTTGGTGTACTGGGGAGTGTGTTGGTGTACTGAGGAGTTGTTGGTGTAATGGGGAGTGTGGTGGTGTACTGAGGAGTGTGTTGGTGTACGGGGGAGTGTGTTGGTGTACTGGGGATTGTGTTGGCATACTGGGGCGTGTTCTCGTGTATGTGGAAGCGTGTTTGTGTACTTTAGGGACGTGTTAATGCACAAGGTATCAGTAGTCTTGTTCCACTACAAAAGAATATCTTGATGACAAACGTTAAAACTTCCTGATTCCCTGCCAAGAGGACAACTACTACATTGTTACCGAATTTACCCTAATGACCATTACTCTTGATAGTCTTGTAAAGGGGTGTTTTGAAGTCCAGTACTGTTCTCGCTTCCACGGGTTAAGCTGGTAGACTGTTCCATAGGTCTAACTCCCCCTTTAAGATATGACACCTTGACGAGCTTGAAGTAGTATCCTCTTGTGGTGGCGGCGCGTGGCAACACAAAAAATCGATCTGGGTTTACGTCTCCCATCCCTTTCAAGATTTTGGATGTGTATGAGATCCGCGCCCTATCATGTCTAAAGGTTGTCAGTCTACTAGGATGATCGAGATGATGTAGTTCAGGAATAATCTTAGTAGCTTTGTGATGCGCCTTCTATAGGGAAGTTATGTTTCTGAAGGTAAGGTCTCCATGTTTGTATACAGTAGTCCAGATTGAGACGTACGAGCGATTTATAAAGTTGAAGGAGCATTTCCTTATCTATGTTTCTAAATATACTAAGAAAATGCTGCATTTAAGAGCCATAAAGCGCGTGCTGCCACCTATACAAAGACACCTTAATATATACTCCGCCGCTGCCAGTAACTCACACTGCACATTAACGACGAATGAGGCGTTGATGACGCCCCTGTCGGTGAGGGCGCTGACAGAGTAGTTGCCAGCTTGCTCCCTCATCACTCGCGCCAACTGCAGCTTCGCCGTTGTCACCTGCAGCGTCTCCTGCCCGCGATGCCACAAGTGCCTGTAACACGGAGAAGTT